AACTAAAGATTTTTATCAAGATATGAAAATTATGTTAGATCATTTTGACACTTCAGATTATCCAAAAGATAATATTTATGGTTTACCTTTAGTTAACAAAAAAGTTTTAGGCAAGTTTAAAGATGAGTTAAATGGAAAAATAATGTCTGAATTTATAGGTTTAAGATCTAAATTATATTCTCATCGAATCTTAGATACTGAAAAAGAAATTAAAAAATCTAAAGGTGTTAAAAAAAATGTTGTAGAAAATAAAATATGTTTTAATGATTTTGAAAAATGTTTACTAACAAAAGAATCAAAATATGTTAAACAAAATTTATTTAGAACTAAGAAACATGATATTTTTACTGTAGAACAAAACAAAAAAGCTTTAAGTGTTTATGATGATAAAAGATTTATTTTGGAAAATGTTATTAATACATTAGCTTGGGGACATTATAAAACAAACATAGATAGAAACGATTTTGTAAACCATCTCAATACACTGATTAGAAATCAAAATCAAAAAGATTAGAAAAATATTTTTAATAGAACAATGTTAAAAAAATTTTTTTACTAATATAAATAATAGAAATGGAAAATTGTAAAAAACTTTTAGAAATGGAAACTTGTAAAAATCATTGAGATATGATCCAAAAGTATAAAAATATACTAAAAGAGTTATCAGAAATTGAATCATCTATGTATAGTTTAGAAACTCATGTATTATCTTTATATCAATCTTATGATAATAAGTATAGTTACAAGCGTTACCAATCTTATGATAATAAGTATAGTTACAATCGTTACCAAAAAAATTTTAAAAAATTATTTGGTTATTTTAAGGAAATTCATAATGAATTAGCGAATTATATAATGAATAATTGGTTTCATAACTATATTTAATGTTCACTAGTTTGTTGTTAGATTTTTTTAATAGAACAATTCTATTAAAAATTAAATTAATATGCCTAACTTACAAATATTCTATTACATTTCGATTTTAATTATTAATATCATAAGTATTATGAAAAATATTTTGGGTGTATTTAATAAGTTTTGCGAAAAATGTTTTTATTATTATTGCATTTCGATTTTTATTTTTAATAATTAAGTTTTGCGGAAAATATTTTTATTATTATTGCATTTCATAAGTTTTGCGAAAAATTTTTTTATTATTATTGCATTTCAATTTTCTGATCTTTTTGCACATTGTTTTCTTTGTGATCTTTTACTGATATATTATGAGGTGTGCCAGGACTGGTATATATATACTACTAACGTAGGAACAAAAGCCAAAGACAGAATAAAGAAGCTTAAAACATTTTCCGATACACGTTGGACATCTCATGATCGAGTGATTTTAGTGGTTCATGATAAGTTTAATTCTCTCAAAGAAGCTCTTAAAATACTTTCTGATTCAACTGATAGAGTAACATCATCAAATGCGCGTATATTTTTGACAACAATTTCCTCTTTTAATTTTGTTCTTATTATGAAACTTATGAAACAGATGTTTGCTATAACAACTCCTTTATCTTGTTACTTACAATCTAAATCTATTGATTTTATTCAAGCATGTCAGTTAGTCGATGTGGCAAAAATAGAATTAGAAAAAATGAGGTATACGGAAAAGTTTCAAGAACTTGTAGAAGACACTAGATTATTTGCAACTGAAAATAACCTTGAGAACTATGATTTCAAGGAAACTAGAATTCGTAAAAGGAAAATATTAGCTGGAGACCAAACTGCTGATGAACAATTTGATTCAGCATCAGAAAGATAAAAAGTGAACAATTAATTCATGGTTAACACTATTTTGTAATTTGAAAATTCCAAATATATTTTCAAAAAATGAATTAATTTTTTTAATAGTTTATGGTATTTGGAATGTGGATGCTAAATTGTAATACATATTTGGTTTATATTTCAGATTTAAAATAAACACTTATTTTACCGTATTAGACCAAATAACAGCATCATTTAATAACCGATTCAATGGAGCACGAGAAATTTTAAAAGACTTAACACTTCTCTCACCAATACGTTTAATCGAGTGTGCAGAGAACAAATCTCATAAGTTACCAATTGATTCATTCACATATATTGCACAATGGATTGACGGCATCAATCATGAACAGCTTATATCAGAATACATTACATTTAATAAATGTTTTACCGAATTAATTAATAGTTCAACATTACCAATGACTCTTCATAAATGCCAACCAAATGAAGCAGTTTTACATTCTGATGAAGAGTCTATCGAATCTCATAAAAAAAATGTAATTGATCCAGGAACAAAAAATGAGACAACTGTTCTAGATGTGATGCAACTTTTAAGTAACCATGATTTACATACGGCATTTCCTAATTTGTTTTTGGCCTATCAAGGATTATGCACATTGCCAGCATCATCGTCTTCTGCTGAAAGAAGTTTTTCTAAGGTATTTGGTATTATTGAATTATTTTTAATAATATTCTTAATTTTAGATTCTGAGCGGAGCGATGAATGTATTGGTTTTACAAAGATGTGTGTTTTTTTTTATATTTTTATATTTTTATATTTTTTTTTGTGTCTGTCATCACGTTTTGGGACAGTAAAAGTGCTTCGATTTTCTTCAATAGTACCTTTTCTGATAGGAAAGTGAATCTAGTTGGTACTTTGGGGGGTCAAAAGTAAACATTTTCCAGTAGTTTTCACAAGCGCCGGGAAAAACAACATAAAAATTAAGGAAAAACGGGAATTTTTACGCAAAATCGATTTTCCAAAAAATCGAATTTGGTTTTTGGTGTAACTTTAAAACAAATGACCGTAGATACATGAAATTTTCACTGGTTGTTTATATTTGCATTTTCTATACACGATAACATTTTCAAAATATTTTGATTTATTTTGAACTGTTTAGGGACATTTTCATTTTTCATTTTTTTTTAGTTATTTTTCTAGAAATATCAATAAAATTTTATTTGTTGGTTAAAAAAACTTGAAAATTTAATAGAAGACTCCTAGTATATTGTTTCAAAGGCAGATGAAAAATATTAAAAATCGTTAGTCACAGTTTTTTTTTTATAAGCATTTAAAGTTCAAAAATTGACAAAATATGGAAAAATCACGAAAATTAGCAAATTATTTTGAGTTAAGAATTCGCAAAAATTTTTCTTTTTAAATCTCAGATTTGAAAATGTAATACAAGATTACTCATAAGTTTGTCTACCTTTATCAATAAAAAAATCTCTACCGGACAGTCAAATAAAATTTTTATGAGCGTTTGAAATTCAAATTTTTACAACATTGGATATTCACTCGATTTCTCATGTAGCAATTTCCTTATTTTATTGTAATTCATAAACGAATAACTATAGATATATGAAAATTTCACTGAATGTTTATATTAGCATTTCCTATAAACCATACAATTTTGAAAATATTTTGACCCTTTTTGAGCTGTTTACGGACATTTTCTGTTTTCATTTTTTTTAGTTTTTTTTTTTTATAATTGTCAATAAAATTTTATTTGGTGGGACAAAAAGTCTGTAAATTGAATACAAGCTTTGTTATATATTGTTACAATATCAGTTGAAAAATTTTAAAAATACATAGACACGATTTTTTTTTATAACCATTTAAAGATCAAATTTTGACAAAATTTATCAAAATCTCGAAAATAATCAATCGTTGGAATTAAAAAATTATAAAATGTTCAGTTTTTATAACTAAGAGTTGGAAATTTAAAACAAAGATTCTCTTAAATAATTCATACTGTAACCAAAAAATCTAAAAAATATATAAACACACTTATTTTTTACAGACATTTTAATTTCAAGTTTAGACAAAATTTCATATTTAAACCAAGAATTACGATTTTAGTTATTTTGTTGTGATTGTATAATATTATTCGTGGGTACTTGAAATTTCTAATGTAATCTACTATATATAATATCTATGATAGTATCAGGGTTTGTTGCTGGTGTATAACGCGTTATAAGTACCTAATGGATATTGTGATATGATTAATTTGGAATTCATTATAGGTCAATTTTTTTTAATACCATAGATATGTATACAGGGTGATTCATTTAACGTAAAACACTCAATATTTCTCAAAACCATTTACTTTTTTCAATATTTTTTTTTTCAAAATTTTAGATCCATGCTGTTCTAGAACTATATCATTTTTTTTTATTTTTCACCCCTATATTTATTAGGTAAACCACTATCAACTTTTGATTTTCAAATGACAACCTATACTTAAAATTTCATAAACTAATAAAGCTATTTTTTTTAATGAATTTTCACGTTTAAATTTTCATTTTTCGTTAATCCGTTGACGAGATATAGCCTCTCAAAGTTGGATGGTTTTGGGTGGTGTTTGTGTGTAAATGTGTGAAAATAAATACCAGAAGTAATAAGTACCTAATAATAATATTTATCTTTTATAAAGACCAGAAGTCATAGACTCATACGTAACGTAATAAATTCGATATCGTTCAACAATTCGACCCAAAGGTCGATTATTTAATAGTTATTAGTTGATAGCACGGACTAAGATATCTAAGTCCGTCGTGGTTGATAGTCATGTTTATTTTGAGTAGTTAAGATCTTAGTCCGTGGTACCTACTATCAATTATCAGATGTCACATGATAATGCATGATAACGTAAATGGTGATTAAAGTATTGAACAAAATTGACAAGCTTGCTGTTAAGAAAATATACTTTTATTTAAATAAGGAGTAAAGATGATAATATCTATCAGGGGTGGACTGGCCAGGTGTGCTAGTGTGCCGTAGCACACCGGGCCGGCTCAATATATGGGCCGCTGGGCCGCCACGCCGGGGGCTCATGAACATTAATTGACGAGTATATTACTAATGAATTTATTTTTTAATTTTAAATACCAAACATTTTAAAACTACTGTTATTGGTTGGAACGATACTTTAATAAGTTGATACTTCGTAGTCGAGCAAACAGCTTATAATAATATAATATACATTACATTGTATTATTATAATATTCATTTATCACGAATTCATATTCATCCATTATCATCTATATATAAATTATTCCATGATAATGGCATGCTGAAAACATAGATATATATTATTAATAATACATATCTATGGCTGAAAATCATAGATAATATATTATCTATGCTGAAAATGTTATATTTGCTATCAGATAACAGATATTGTTAATTGTTATCTATCTCCGTACCGGCAATTTATATTATAATGATGGACCTTTATATCAATGCTATAATAGTATAAGTATAATATTATGTTATTACTTATTACCTATAAGACTCAAATCGTGTATTATAAATTATGGTCCTGGCCCATCGCCCTGAAGAAATGTAAGGTCCAACGTACGACGTACCTGTTTTGTAATTTTGTATATTGTACTGTAAAATCGCTGTTATTCTTTTTTTAAATTATGTCTTCAAACGGTTCAAAAGACAACAAACGTGTTAAAGGTGGAGCAGAAAAAGCTCGCTTCAAACGGGCTCTTCAGTTAAAAGCATTAGCCAATGATCCAAAACAAAAAAAAATTTGTTTTGCTAAGAATTCTGATAATTTGGTAAGTTTTATAAGCTAATATTCAAACTATAGACTTGATATAAATTTTCAATTGAAAATTTGAAATCTAGTATTTGTATTGGTATTTGGCATATGTATAATATGTTACAGATGAATATTTGTAATACAGTTGTTACTGATATTATAGTTGAGCCAGTTCAGATATGTAAAGCCCTAATTTGTAATGTATATGTTATGTGTTTACTCTTTATTGTTTATTAAGTATTTGTGGTAAATGCAACTGCCTGTGAATTTTGATTTATATTTGTATGAATTTTTGTTAATATAGAAAAAATGTATATAGAATTTTTATTTTGTATTTGAAATATACTGAGTGTACAACATAAAATAATTATAATAATATATTATTATTTAAAACATACACCATATATACAATTATACAAAATATATTATAATACTGTTCTATACACATTTATTTATATAATTATTATTTATTATAGATACTATTACTATACCTACCTATTATTCAACATTAAATTATTATTTTTTATTTGTGTGTTTTTAAAAATATTATTTAGTCCATTACAATTGACAAGCGCTGGAGATGGTAATATTATTATCAAAATATGTATCTAATTTTCTAAATATTATAATCATAATATTTTTATGATTTTCTATAAATTGTATTTTATGTATATGTACTATAGTAATGATTATATGAAATATATATTTGATTGCATAATTTATATATTATACTTTTGGTTATTACTTGTTTTAGTTTTCATAAAAGTTATTGTAAATTGCAATAAAAATTAAAATAAGGTAAGTTATAGTTTTCATTCTTCTGAATTATTTTATTTTTGAAATTATAATGTAGTACCAACTTTTTTTAATTTTATTTTGTATTAACTTATGAAATTGATCTATTATCATTTACCATGCATGTAAAATGTGTATAGTAAATAATGCACTGCTTTTTAGTTATTTAAATTATTGTTTTGTGTGGTGTTAATGTGTTATACTTTTAAGTTACATGAAACAAAATTGTGACTTAAGTATTTTTAACAGTGGTAGTTTTAGGATGCCATAATTTATTTGACAATAGTTTATGTTTTAAAAAATGTTTTTTAGGAAGTAAATGTTGATGCAAATAGTGACGATGGTACATCTAGCACTATAACGCAATCTGACATAATTTTAAATGATGACCTAAACGTTGAACTTCCATCACAAGCTTTAGTAAAGG